GCTGAGGGTCCTCAAGTGCTTGGGACCCGGTGGGGGGGGGGGTGTGGGGGGGCGGGGGTGTCTTGAAGACGTGGTTCTGGCAGGATGGCACCCTGTACTGCATTGTCCAACTAGCCCCTGATTCTCTGGGTCACCTGCTCTCCATCATCCTTCCAACTCCTGGCCTGCCCGAGCTCAGGGCTTCCTACCTACTGACTCCTTGTCTTGGTTTCCCCCAGGGCCTTGGGGGGAGGATGAGGAGTGGACAGACAAGGCCCGGAGGGTCATCATGGAGCGTATCGGCCTCGCCACTGCAGGGTAAGGGCCCTGAGCCTGCCCTACCTTCTGGAGCTGTGCCCCCATTGGGAGGGACACAGAAGAGGGAACCAAGGCAGAGAGAGGCCAGATGGCTTGTGCAAGGCCATGTGATGAATCTGGCAAGATCAGGATTAGATCTTGTGCTCCCAACTCCTTGCCCTGTTTCCCACTCAGGCTGCCTGTGGCCTGCTTCAGGATAGCCTGGGGAGGGGCAGGCCCTGGTGGAGCCCTGGGTGGCCCACGTGTGCTGGCTCACTTCCTGACAGGCCCCTCACGCAGCTTGTTGGAAGGCACCAGCTCAGGTGCCTGGTGTGCATGGCCAGCTACTGCCCGCCTGTTGGGGTGGGGCCTGTACCTGTGGCTGCAGGTGTGACTTCAGGGAGCCCTGCCAGGAGATCTGCCTCAACCTGATGGCGGGGCCAGGGTGAGAGCTGCTCTCACGGCCACGGCTGTGACTGCAGGGAGCCCTACCATGACATCCGCTTCAACCTGATGGCGGTGGTGCCCGACCGCAGGATCAAGTATGAGGCCAGGCTGCACGTTCTGAAGGTGAACCGTCAGACAGTACTGGAGGCCCTGCAGCAGGTGGGTACCCCTCCTGCCCAGGCCCTGCCTAGCCCAGCCACCCACTCCTTCCCTCCACTGGGGCATCTGTGTCTGATTCCCACATTACTCTGTATTGTGGATCTGGGCTGCAATTAACCACTCCTTTTCTTTGCTCCCTTTGTGGGAAAGGTGATGGGACTTGGCATTGGGGAGGGGGAGAATAGCCTCTGAAAGGAGGTTTGGCTGTTTTATTTCCCTTTAAGTGAGTGAGTAGAGCCAAGGCCCTTAGCTGTCCAAGGTAGAAGCTAGGGTCTGCCTTCACTCCTCCGCACCTTGGATTTTGATTTCAGCTGATTAGGGTAACGCAGCCAGAGCTGATTCAGACCCACAAGTCTCAAGAGTCACAGTTGCCTGAAGAGACCAAAGCAGTCAGCAGCAAGTCCCCTCTGGCCCTGGAAACAAGCAGGGCCCCAGCGGCCTCTGAGGGCACCCACACAGGTATTGGAGCCTCTCATGGGCCTCAGAGCCACCCCAAGCAGAGCAAGTCTTTTTGTATGGAGGCACTTGGGCAGTGGTTCAGAGGCTCCTGCAGGAGGTCTGAAGCCTGGTACCTACAGCCCTCTCCCCTCGGAACATGGAGGAAGAGCAGTCCCTCCCTAAACAAAGGCACCTGGAAAGGGCTGCCATTACCACAGTCCCCCAAGCCTTCTCCTTAATGTATATTCCCTTTCTAGCCTCTCTAGAAGTTTTTTTCTTTCTGCCTCCTCTTTTTCATCTCATCCTTTTCCTGTCTCACTGTGGCCCCATGACTTAGAGCTTGCTGATTCTCCACCCATCAGCTGTCTCTGCTGTTCTTCTTTGAGAAGGGAAGGGGAGCAGTACTGTGCCCCAGGACTGGGGAGATAGTGGGCTGAGGACAGCTTTTCTTGAGGGTCTGGCTGAAAGTCCTGCCCATGCCTCTCTCCCTCTCAGATGGTGCAGAGGAGGTGGCTGGTTCGTGCCCACAAGCCCCGACCCACAGCCCTCCCAGCAAACCCAAGCTGGTGGTGAAGCCTCCAGGGAGCAGCATCAATGGGGTTCCCCCAAACCCCACTCCTATCGTCCAGCGGCTGCCAGCCTTTCTGGACAATCACAACTATGCCAAGTCCCCCATGCAGGTAAGCTGGCAGGATTCCCTCCAGGATTCTTTTGAGAGGTTGCAACAGGCACTTTCCTCAGGTGATTCATTGGTGTTTGCCTTCTCTCGGGGCCTAGGTAACCAGGTTCCTCTGATTCTCAGAAGCTCCTACGATGGCAGGGGTTGAGGGAGGCAGAGAGAGCTCCTCTGACTTTAAACTCAGTCTCATGGCTGTGGGGCTAAATGTTTAGGGCATGGGGTTGGATTCAGCTCTGTGGGTTGGGTTCTACTGGCAAAATAAATGCAGGTGTTGCAGGGCACTCTGTTTCTCTTAGAAGCCCTATGTAGGCAGGTAGTGTGGGTGGGCTCTGGAGCACCTGGAGGGATTCAGTGGAAGCCATGTTGGCTTCCTGGCTGTGGCTGCTGTGTCCAGCCTGGCTCATGGCCGCCCTGGGTCTCTGCCCCAGGAGGAGGAAGACCTGGCAGCAGGTGTGGGCCGCAGCCGAGTTCCAGTCCGCCCACCCCAGCAGTACTCAGATGACGAGGACGACTACGAGGATGATGAGGAGGATGACGTGCAGAACACCAACTCCGCCATCAGGTTAGCCCCAGCTTTGTAAGGCTGGAGGCTGAGTGCTGCAGATCCTATCTTGAATCTTCCAGCCCAGAAAATGCCCTTCAGCAGATAATGCTAAATGCCTGCTGAGTGCAGGGCCCCGGGGAGGCTGACGTGAAGGGGCTGACTCCAGGTCCCAAGAAATTTTTGGAGGGCTTGGGCGAGGGCCGTGCACATTTGACCAGACATCAAGGCCTTTTGTCTAGGCCTTGAGAGATGGGGTGGGGGATATCTTTGCTGGAAGAACCGGCATTGGCAAAAGGCCAGAAGTGAGACAGCTGGAATAGAGGAGGTGTCCTTTGAGGACACCTGGCTGCGGCTGTCGAAGCTCAGTGTGCCAGGCTTGGCATGGCCAGGTCAAGCTGCTGGAGCTTCAGGGTCAGTCCCTGGAGGCCAAGATGTGTTCAGGTCATTCTGGGCGTTGCTGAATGTGGTCACCTTGCCCATTCCCTTGGCTTACCTTTCCTTGGGCCCCACAGGTATAAGCGAAAGGGGCCGGGGAAACCAGGGCCATTGAGTGGCTCTGGGGATGGGCAGCTGTCGGTGCTGCAGCCCAACACCATCAACGTCTTGGCCGAGAAGCTCAAAGAGTCCCAGAAAGACCTCTCAATTCCTCTGTCCATCAAGACGAGCAGCGGAGCTGGGAGTCCAGCTGTGGCAGTGCCCACGCACTCACAGCCCTCACCCACCCCCAGCAATGAGAGCACTGACACAGCCTCTGAGATCGGCAGCGCTTTCAATTCGCCACTACGCTCGCCCATCCGCTCGGCCAACCCCACGCGGCCCTCTAGCCCCGTCACCTCCCACATCTCCAAGGTGCTTTTTGGAGAGGACGACAGCCTGCTGCGTGTTGACTGCATACGCTACAATCGTGCTGTACGCGACCTGGGTCCTGTCATCAGCACGGGCCTGCTGCACCTGGCTGAGGACGGTGTGCTGAGTCCCCTGGCACTGACAGGTGGGCCTTGGGCTGGTTCACTGGCCTCCCAGTGGCATACTGAGGAGGGAGGTGGCCAAGTGACCACCACGTGTCCTGCACTCTCATGGGTCTTCTCGTGCCTTCTCTTCCCAGAGAGTGGGAAGGGGTCCTCACCTTCCATCAGACCGAGCCAAGGCAGCCAGGGGTCTGGTAGCCCAGAGGAGAAAGAGGTGGTGGAGGCTGTGGACAGCAGAGAGAAGCCTGGGCTGGTCAGGCCTAGTGAGCCCTTGAGCGGGGAGAAGTACTCACCCAAGGTGAGCCCCTCTGCAGCTTTCTCTTCTAATACTGCCAAGGGAAGGGCCGAGGGCACTGCTGCCCAGGTGTTGGGTTCCTAGTTGGGATTTTGGTGTGAAGGGTGGTGGCTGAAGCCAGGTGCCAGGAAGCCTGTCTGGGTCGGGTGGTGGCAGGGGCCTCAGTAGGCTCCCGGGACTCCGGCTGCTCGTCCTTGCCTCTAGCTGCCTGCTGGTAGTGGGGCTTTGGTGCTGGCCAGCCCCCCCACCACGGGTGCAATTGCTGGGTTTTGGCAGGAGCTGCTGGCACTACTGAAGTGTGTGGAGGCCGAGATCGCAAACTATGAGGCCTGCCTCAAGGAAGAGGTGGAGAAGAGGAAGAAGTTCAAGGTGGGCCCTCTCTCCAGCTGCCTGGTCCTCTGCCCACCGGTCTGCCCAGAGGTGCGGCCTGCTGGGGTCAGCTGGTGGCTGCTCTGGGGAGATGGCTGCGGCGTCCTCATGTCCTCATTCTTCTCTCCCACAGATCGACGACCAGAGAAGAACACACAACTACGATGAGTTCATCTGCACCTTCATCTCCATGCTGGCTCAGGAAGGTGAGGGGTCTCGCTGCTGCACCTTACCCTGGCCCTCAGGCCCCCTCCTTCAGGCCTCTGCTGGGGCTTGAGCAGACTGTAGTCTCAGGGAGGGCCGAGAGAGCCTCAGCTTCTGACCGGAGGCTGTGGCCGGTTGAGCGAGTGGCTGCTGGGCATCCAGCCACCTGCTCGAGGGCCTGCGCCTCTCCACAGGCATGCTGGCCAACCTGGTGGAGCAGAACATCTCGGTGCGGCGGCGCCAGGGGGTCAGCATTGGCCGACTCCACAAGCAGCGGAAGCCTGACCGGCGGAAACGCTCACGCCCCTACAAGGCCAAGCGCCAGTGAGGACTGCTGGCCCTGACCCTGCTGCTCACTCTTGCCACACGGCCCTCACCAGGGCCCTCCCCCTGCCCCACTCCCCCTCTTCCCAGTATTACCGAATAGTTCCAGTCAGAGAGCCCAGACCCTGGGGATAGGAGCCAAGCCAGGATTCTCTGCACAGTACCCCAGTGCCTACCAGGGCAGGGCCGCCCCCGTCATGCTCTGGAAGCAGGAGCTGGGGCACAGGGAGGTGCTGCAGCTTCCTCCACAGCCGGCTGTGGAGTGGCAGGACCTGGCCTTTCTGCCTGGGCAGCAGAATATATATTTTACCTACAGAGACGTCTATTTTTCTGGGCTCTAACCCATCTTGCCACCACTGTGTTGACATAGTCAGCTTCCTGACTCTGAGTTCTCTCCTAACAGCTGTCATCCTGGAGGGCCAGGGTCACTCCTGCAGGGTCACAGCTGGGGGCCCTGCTGCTCTGGCCCCAGTTGTCCCTGTTGCGAGGAAGCCAGGTCTGCTCTTCGTTCCTCCTGGGAGAGCTCCAAACTCAGGGACCTGGCTGCTGGGCTAGACCGGGAGTGTGGTGTCCCAGCGGGGGTGGGGTGAGCAGCCTGCTTGGGTCCCATGGCCTGAGCAGAGAGAAGTGTTTGAGCTGTTTGGTGCCCTGGCTTTGGCCAGGCTTGGTAAGACTGCTCTCTGTGGCAAGGCCCTGGGCTCTTTGTCTTCAGTGTTGTGGCCCTGGCAAGGGGCCTGCTTTGGGCTCCTGGGCTCAGAGGAGCCTCTGCCCGCCCCTCAGTATTACCATGTCTCCCTCTTCTTAGAGACAGCAGAGACAGGGCTGCTTGCAGGAAGCTGGCACCACTCAGCTCTCCCTGCCATGCCAGCTTTCTCAGCTTCTGCAGGGCACTCAGGGTGGGGGACAGTAGGACCAAGACAACCAGTTGGAGCCCCATGTTCCCAGAGGGCCTGATGCCAACGGCTGATGGGCCCAGCACTGCCTCTGGAGCTCAGGCCCCAAACATAGCCCCATGGCCTCTTCCAGGTGGCTTTGAAGGTGATCCAGGCGGGCCCCTTATGTGTACATAGTGACCGGGGTGGGGGGCAGCTGGCAGGCATGGCAGCTGCCTCTGCGCTAAGCATAGCCCGACCCCTCTGGCCCCTGTAAATATTGGACTAATGAATGAATAAAACTCTCCTAAAAAATGAGCCCTCCTGTGCTTGCTGGCCTGAGGTTTGTAGGCCAGGGCTGTGGTGGGAGTGAGGACCTAACCAGACCTGGGCCCAGGGCCCTGTGTGTGACCAGAGAGGTAAGGGGAGTGCATCCTTGGGCATTCAGCCTTCTGGGGCAGAGGTTCTTGGGACCCTAGGCCTGGGACTTAGGGTCTGAACTGAGGAGGGGCTTCGGGTGGGCTGTGGAACCTGAGGAGTTGTGTGCAAGGTGTAGTGTGGGAGGAGAGGGCCATGGCTTTCGCCAGATCTGGCAGCTTTGCAACCTGGAGAGGTGTTGGGGCTCAGTGGAGGTGGCACCTCTGTCTCTAGTCCTGCCTGGTGTGTAGTCAGTCCCTGGAGGGGCCCTGGGACCTTGCAAGGCTCACCTCTCTTCCCTTGTTGCAGGTCAAAGCTGCCAACTGTGTTACTCTTCCCCCTGCTAACCACATTTTCTCTTGAGGCCCCTGTAGCCTCTCACCCGCACTGTTTCCCTGGCAGTGGGTTCTACAGAGGGGGCCTGGTGTAAGCAGCTAAGGCTCAGCTGGACTGTTTAGGAAATGCAACTTTAATGGCGCCAGCCCTTCTGTCTGGGTCTAGTAGTCCAGGGCACAGATGAGGGCCACACCACGCTTTACCCAGTGTCGCTGGGGCTGGTCGGTGGGGATCTCCACAGCAATGACGTAGTTTGTGGAGTGGCCTGTGGTTGATAGTGTTCCTAGAGCAGGCAAGAAGGGGGAAGGTTAAGTTGTCTGCTTCAGCTAGGGCAGGAACAGGGTATAAAGAAAGGCAGTGGACTTGGCAAACTGAGCTTGGGACAAGGAAGGGGACCTGACCCAAGAGGAAGCCTGTCTGGGGAGTGTGGCCAAGGCTCAGGCCTGCCCTAAGTTACTGCACTGACGATTGAGGATGGGAATGGGAGAGTTGACGCCCCTGCTCATTCCCTGTGGACCCAGCCCAGGCCCACCCCACCTCTCCAGGCCTCAGTTACCCCCTCTGGACCTCCATTGGCAGGCCGGGCCTCCCAGGACCCAAGGTGGGTCTGCTAAGGGAGGCAAGAGGATGGTGAGCTCAGGGGCCACTCCCCACAGACTGGGCCCAGCCCCTGCGCATCACCTTGCCTACAACTGGCCCAGCTCTGTCCTGGCCTAGTCAGTCTCAGGAGTGAGTGCTGACTGACCTCTGTCAGCCATCCTGTTCAGCTAACCTGGGTCAGCCTAACTGGCCCAACCCTGGGCCCCCACCTGTGGTGTAGGCTCCCCGCCCTGGGCCCCATACCAGCACGGGTCAGTGTCTTGTAGATGGGGCACAGGTAGAAGTCCTGGTTCTGGACCTTGCGGTTGGGCGTTGGCAGGAGCCAGATAACGGCCATCTCTGTGTATAGCTCCTTGGGCCGAGACTCAGCCAGCTGGAAGGCCAGAGGGTCCCATCGGGCACCTTCCAGGAACAGTCCATGGATGAAGCACCCGTCTTTGGGTCTTGTCTTGAGCTCTGATACCGACTGGCGCATCACCTGTGGTGGGCACACAGATGCCCCCTCACATATAAACACCCAGAATCTCGGTTAGGATTTGGGTCAGGAGGCACAAGCTCCCTCCCGAGGGCTCTGCCTGCCTCCCCGCTTCACCTGCTGTTTCAGCTGGTAGCCTACAGTCTGTGCTCTGCCCCTAGGGACTTCCCTGGGGCTTATGGTCTCTTCTGGCTCTCCCTGTCCCCCAACCTCCTCTCAGGGGCTCCCCTGATTCTGCCAGCCAGCTGTGGCCTCCGTGCTCCTCCTACCTGGGCCACACCCCAGCCTGTCACCTGACCTGGCCCTGGCTGAGTCCAGACCTTGAAATCGAAGGAGATGGTGTCGATGGAGATGATAGACTTGCGGGCATAGTTTTGCAGGGTGCCTGTCAGGAAAGCCTGGGGGAAGAAGAAGCCGCTGATCCAGAAGACGGCTGGGATGCCCTTGGAGATCCAGGTCTGCAGGAAGTCCAGGCGCTGCAGCAGGTCCATGACCCATAAGGACAGTGGCTTGAGTGATGGGTAGGCCTTGGCATTCCAGAGCTCGGGCACAGTGTTGTTGTATAGGCTGGCAGCCATCAGCTCCAGCTGCAAGGACATCACCACCAGCCCCTTGAGTGCTGTGAGCAGGTCTCTCAGTGTCTGTGTGATCACTTGCAGCAGCCGGTTGTACCTGTGGAGCCAGTGGCAAGGAGGAAGGCAGTGGTCTGGGGCCGTGTGGCCATATCCGCACTCCCCAGTTGTAGGCCGTAGACAAAAAAACAATGGCAGAACATAGGGGCTAAGAGCATAGAGTGGGGTCGAGTGGCCTGAGTACCAGTTCCAGCTCTGGCTGTTAGTAAATGTATGACCTTAGACAAGTCATGTAACCTTTTTGGGCCTTGGTTTACTCATCTGTAAAATGGAATAAAAATGTGGCTGAGTTAGAGAATGGGTTTATAGCACTTGGTGTGGCTTTTACTGTCATTACTCTACAAACCAGTGGCCTGCTGACTCAGGGCTGGGGGTGGCAGGGGATTACCGAGTGACCTCCTGTACTAGCACCGTGTTCATTGACTCCTCATACAGCACAGGGTACTTGGTCATCACCCGCTGCAAGCTGATGGGCTCAGGCACCTTGAGCAGAATGTTCTGGGCCACATCCTCCACTATCTGTGGGCGCAAAGAATTCTACATGCACAGAGTTCCTTCCCACAGGGGAACAGGCATGAGGGTGGATAGGAGACTGGTCCTGCCCAACCACTGGGCCCTTTCCCCTGCTGCCACTAACCTCCTCCCGGCGCTGGCCGCCTGCAGAGGATGATTTGGGTTGCAGCTGGACGATGGTGCCAAGCAGGGTGTAGGTCTCATTCTGGGCACAGGTGATATTGGCATTGTCATGCAGGCCAAAGATCTCAGGCATGTCGTTGAGTGGAAGGCTCTTGATGTAGGAGAGGTAGCCCTGGAGGGTAGGAGCGCTGCGACTGAAGCCCCTGCCCTGCTCTACCTCCAGCCTGCGGGACAGCCCTCCAATTGAGCACATCCACTACTCGTCACCCCTGGTTGCAAGTTTTACGCATCTCCCTCTTACCCTCGGGACTCCATGGCCTCTGCTCCCTCCTAGCCCACTTCTCCCTGCTGCCTAGCTCCCTGCTTCTTCATTCAGCTGCTCAAACCTGTCACAGCCCCTCCTGCCACAGGCCCTTTACACAGCTGACCCACACTCTGGGGTGCTCCACCCAGCACCTGCCTGCTCCTCACACATCTTAGCTGGAGCATCATTTCCTCAGGGAGCCCTCCCTGACTGTGGTCTGGGCTGCTTCCCACCTCACTGCCTCACCTGGCAGCCTCAGAGGAGCTGCCCAGCCCCTCCCAGCCTCACAAAGTCCTCTCGGGCAGGGGCTGAGAGGCGGGAGTTGGCCTCTGCCCACAGAACCTGAGCTCCAGGGCCATCTTTGTGGGATGGATCAATCAATGAAAAGGAGCTACTGGCCGGTTGGGGCCAAGTCTTCCAGCACCCAGGTGTTCACGGCACCCCAGGACGCCAGCCTGGCAGGCCGCCTAAAGCATAGCCCCCGTGTGTGCTCACGTTGAGGTCGTAGGTGGGTTGGATCTGGTGGTAGACGCCCGAGGCACTGTAGCTGTGCTCGGGGAAGAGCACGGCGGGGCTGTAGAAGTCCTCCAGGATGTTCATGACGCAGCGGCGGTCCCAGTCATCAGTGACGCGGCCCCCGTAGTTGATCTCCCCTGCCGTGTACTTGAGGACCTACGGGGTGGGTAGGTCAGGCCCCCACAGGCGCCCAGCTCCCCGCCCTCAGCCCATCCCCAGCCCACCTTGTAGGGGATGTGGTCATACTCGTCCAGGAACATCTTGAGCTGGCTGACGCAGATGCGTAGGTCCCCGTCCGTGAACTCGTAGGGGATGTTGAAGCCCAGGGGCCCAAACTTACGACGCTCCAGGGCATTCCCATGGAACAAACACAGAGACAGCAGCAAGGACTTGAACTCCATCACCTGCCAGAGGTGGGGGCGGGGCAGAGGGGCGTGAAGGGTGGGGATGGAGATGGGGCAGGCTGGGGGTGCATGTGCCAAGTGTGTCTCACCTTGTGACAGGAGTTGAGGAAGTCATCGCTGA